CGATTTATAGTGAGAAGTAATGATATTGTGCTAAAAAAAAAATATTAAAATTAAAACAAACTAAAATGGGATTTGAATTCAAAATATAAAATATGTAAGACTAATTTTTAATTCTAAAAATTAAAAAATGTGTTAATTTCATAATAATATGTCGGGCATTCCAAATCAGAAAATTATGTAGTTAAAGAACTTCAAATTGGAACTTGACCCAAAGCCCAAACTAACTTCTTCTCAAAGTTCAAAGTCAAAGAACTTCAAATTGGAACTTCACCCAAATACCGAACCAACTTATTCTCTTCTTTACATAGGAAGGCCCACCACGACTCTTGGGGCGTTTTGGTTAGAGCCTAGAAGAGGGGAGGGTTTTCTAAATTTGTTCAAAAAATAGATTTGGATTGAAAATCAACTTAAGCGATTTGGCTGCCGTAATATATCAAGAACCCTAAAACCGGACGATTGAAACTGGTTCACACAACGCATTCAAACCGGTCCTTACCGACTCTTTGTCAAAACCGGTCGAGTAAGGCTGCATTGAGAGAGAGAGAGGGTTGAAGGTTTTGCAAGGAATGCACAGGGATAGGACTTATTTACAAATAACCCAAACAGTCTTTATCTCGACCAATGCATGAACTTCTGGTAGTATTTGTAATACCACTTGTGAGATTTACATGCAGCGAATATACCAGCAAAAGTAAGATGATAGAAGTTGTAGAGAAAGAAGGCTCTGAATGAATGTTGGGTTTTTAAGAGGAGTGAACATGTACCACCATCAATAGAGAATTTACAAACAACTTTCCCTCTCTGAAACTTAGGCCACCTTTGCACTACAATTCTGGATAGTGGATTTCAAGTCTTTAAAGAGTTGACAGATGCTGCAAATTTGGCTCTTGTATCTTCCATCTTTGATTGAAATTCGGATTATGCTGTGGTTTTGTGTGTGAGATCCTTTTCCACGACCATTGTGGGCAATGTTAACTCTGACTTTTTTCTGGGTCTCTGGTTTTTACAAGAGGTGTTACAAGCCCTTTTTCCACATGAGAATTTAGAGAGAGGAGAGATTTATAGGTTTCCAAATTTTGCAGGAGGTGTTTTAAGCTGTTTTTCTATTGGAGAATTGAGAAAGAGAGAGAGAGAGGGAGAGGCAACGTGATTTGGGGGAGAGGAGAATTGAGAGAGAGACGTAAATGAACGATTCAAAAGGCTGCAGCCCTATAGAAACTGCATCTTTATTTAAAGGGAAGAGTTTATTGAGAGCGGAGGCTCTAAACAATCAAATTTAAGTCTATTTCAAAAATAGAAGAGGTTTTTTTTATGCTCAAATATCTTCAAATTGTTCATCTCAACATCAAGATATGTAGAAGAGGTTTTTGTGATGCCCAAATATCTTCAAATTGATCATCTCAACATCAAGATATTCAAAAACTGAAAAAAAAAAAAATGGATTTCAGGAAATAGTATATTTTGTAACGCTCATAAGACTTTTAAGTTTTCATAGATATATCGATCTAACCACAAACTACATATCTCGACACTATATAAACACCCCCTTATTTAAAGGGAACAGTTTATATAGTGCCAAGGCTCTAAACAATCAAATTTGAGCCTACCTAAAAAAATTTAGTTGTTTTGATGTCCAAATATATCAAATTGATCATCTCAAAAAATTTACTAGAAGAGGTTGTTTTAATGTTCAAATATAATCGATCATCTCTCAACATCAAGATGCATGGATATAAGAAAAAAAATAGATTTCAAATTTTAAAAATAGTATATTTTGTAATGCATTTTTTTATCATCTATACTATTATTTGACACTATTTGAAGTTCGCTCTTATTTAATTATTTAGAGCGTAGGCTCTGTACAAACTGCACCCTTATTTAAGAGCCCACACGCCCAATAGAAACTGCGTCCTTATTTAAAAGCCCACACCCCCAATTAATACAAGATGACCCACAATCTTTAAGGCCACCTGCCTCTAAGAGCTACTCCCCATCTTGACTTTACTTGGGTAGCTCATCTCCTACATTATCTTTCCTATCTCGTGTGGTATAATCCCTTAACCCTGAGGCTCTGATGTGGGGCGGCCGGTGAAAAGTTAACAGGAGAGAGAGGGAGGGAAAATGTTGGAGAGAGACCGGAGAAAAATTTATAAAAAAAATATCTCTATACTCTTTATTTTTAGATTTCATTTCACACTAGATTCAAAGTTTTAAAGAATATCTCGAAACATAAAATTATAGATGTTATTTATTCGAACCCTTGAGCTAATTTAAATACGTTTTTTTAGGACTAACAAATCTAAAAAGACATACATTCTCTCTTTAGTGACCATTACCCATCTTTCACTCTCTGCCTCTTGTGCCCACTACATCTCTCTTGCCTGTCAAAAGAACTCATGGTGTCCAAGCTCTTCAATTTCTCATTCCAACTGAACAAAATCTTTCACCCATGTCTTTATCTCTTTTGGAGATTAGTTCATCAGTAAGGCCAAAAATCTCATCTTAAATTACTATGATTTCCCTTTCAATTGAAGGCTGAAAATAACCACTAAAAATTCTCAAAGAGAAAGTGCCTTTCTCTCTCTAAATTATCTCTTTCTTCTAAGTTCTAACAATTGAGCTAGCACTGAGAGAAAGAAGGCATGGCTAAGTAATTTCAAAACCCTAAAACCCACTAAAATTATTTAAACTTCCTCTGTATTGATAGCTGAAAATAAACATGGAACGGGGTTTTGGTCACACTACTGAGATTGGACCAAGCTTGCAAGATGAGAGAGAGATAGAGGACTTCAAAACCAGGTTGGAATACGACGGTTTGGGGAAATAGACAGAGAGGTAATGGGGCACGAGATAGGGAAAGTGGGGGAGGGCTTTAAGGAGGTCGAGAGAGGGAGACGTAATGGGCAAGAGAGAGAGAGTTTTGACGGCTACTGGTCTATGGTGGTTTGGGAAAAGAGAGAGGTAATGGGGGTAGAGAGAGAAAGAGGTTGGAAAAATGGGGAAGTAAAGAGAGAGAGGTAGAGGAGTAAGAGAGAGAGTGAAGTTTGGAATACATAAGTGAAGAGAGAGAATGATTGGGTTTAAAAAGAGTATGTCTTACTCATATTTGTTTAGATTAAAAAATAGGTTTAAAGTCATTAAGGGGTTAGAAGATATATTTTGAAACCTTAGATTTATCAAGAAATAAAACCTAAAAAAATGAGATATGGATATATTTTTTCAAATTTATAATATAATAAGAGAGAGATAAAGGGCCATATATGGTAACGAGAGAGAAAGAAAGATGGGGAAAGTGAGAGAAAGGGGTATTGATTTATAAAAAATTAATTGTTGGATAAAAAAAAATTGTAATATTCACATAGAAGATGTAATGTTAAGTTCGTATGTTTTTTTAAGCCTCATGATGAGATCTCTGACTCCATTCTCACCAACGAGGAGGGGCCTAAATCCCCACTAAACTTATTGTTTTTTACTTACCAAATCAATATTATTATTTGTAGGCGATGCAGTTCGCATACGGATGCATCCGTAGCTGTAGAGGTAAAGTGCACCTTCAAATTTTATCATGATATATAATTTTAATGTCAAATGTTCTTAGGATTATCTCAAAATCTATTTTTATATCTAATTATAAAATTTTAAATTCCAAAAATAGTTAAAATCAAGTAGATCTATAAACATATGAAAATTTTGGAAATGAACGGCGTAGATAATATGTTGTAAAATGCACTATTTATGAGATTTAAAATCTTTTTATTTTCATGGGCATACATCTCGCTGTCAAGAAGATCAATCAAAGGGTTTTTCAACATTAAAACTACATTTTTCAATGGATTTTTAAGGTGTATCCGTAGCTCTACATTATAAGGTTGCAACCTTAAACAATCCAATTAAGGCGCGTCACCAAATTTTATTATAACATGTAATTTTGATGAAAAATATTCTTAGGATTATTCTAAAATCTATTTCATATCTAATTATAAAATTTTAAACTCCAAAAATGATTATAATCAAGTAGATCTATAAACATATGGAAATCTTGAAAATGGATGGTCTAGATAATGTGTTGCAAGATACATTATTTCTGAGACTCAAAATCTTTTTTTTTATTTTTTTTTTCTTTTCATATTCATATGTCTCGTAGTCGAGATGATTAATTAGAGGGTTTTTAACATTAAAACAACCTTTTCCAATAGATTTTTGAGGTGCATATGTAATTCTACATTTTAAAGGTACAACCTTATATAAACTTTTTCCTTTGTAATAAGATATATTATTTTAATAAAACAAATATTCACAAAAAAAGTTATCCATATTTATATATTTTTATAAAATAATAAAAATTATAATACAATACTATTATTTTTAAAAATTACAATACAATACTATTATTTTTTTGAAAACTTAAAAGATTGGATATTAAAGCAAATTTATTGGATTTTTTTTAAAAAAAATTTGAGGCTAAGAAAAATCAATCTACACGATTCTCAAATCCCAAGCTCCAATCCGACTGCATTTTTAGGGTGGCAACGATCCGTTATTTTTTTGAGACCTTCCTAGATTCTAACATTTGCTCGAAATTTAAGGTCACGTGGTAATGTAACGTCTCACGGTTTTCCCTCAAAACTATGGTGAAGTATCTTCTTTGACTGAGGAAACCTGGGCGGAGGATTGAAAAGACTCACAGATCCAGATTTTAGTGAGAGAAAGAGCAATGATGAGGTCATGGTCTCGAGGCTCTTAAGGGTTTTTCTCTCTTCAACTTTACCAGCATCTTCAGGTCTTATGGGTCCCAAGCCCAACAAGAAGGCCGGCAGACCAGTTTATGAAAACCTGGTTTTTGGTGGGTATTAATGATGATGCAACAGTGGACATGAGATGAAGGAGCAACAAACAGACTGTTGGGGAGCTGCAATGATTTAGAGAGAGAGAGAGATTATAATATGATGTGAGCATTATTTTGAGGTAATTTATGTCATAATGCAGTCTTTTCAGGATTATTTCTTTCATTTCTATGGCAAAATGTGGGGCTTAAGTTTAGAGAACGTAAAGAAGAAAGTTGGGTTTTGTAATTGAATTAGTTTCTATGCATTTTTGTTACTCCTGAGGTAAAACTGATTGCATAAACCAGTGATTTTCAATACTGTTTTAACTTGGAAGGAGGCAGTAATAAGCCTATCACTTATTTACAAGAACCCAATATTGTTTCAAGTTAGGGAGAATTTATAATTCCTGTAAATTGATGGAAATAGATTAGTGGAAAGGACAGTTATTTTAGATAGAAAACAGCATTGTCAGTCATTTTCAGGAAAACTTTTTATAAATATGGGAACATTATTTATAAACAGTAAGTTGTGATCCCATAAATCACTTCACAAAAAGGTTAAAGTCTTTTTACCATGAACAAGTTCAAGAAAGTGGTCACTTTTTTGTTACCAAATTACAAAGTACCCAGTTGGTTCTGAACTTCTCGCGATCAGAAGTACCCTAGATGCATGCTTGCTTTTCCATTGGTATCTCTCTCTCTCTTCCCCATTATTAATTACAACTTAATTTTCTTTTTAACTTTTAAATGGCAGGTGTATGAATAATTCTGAGGCTACAATCTCTCTCTCTCTCCCTCTATCTCTATCTCTGTGTGTGTCTGAAGAGAAGCACATAAACCATCTATGGAAACTAAATAGAAGACCTCATTAGCAAAATTAACAAAAATATCTTGTGTGGACCATTCTAATGGTTTGTTTGGATTCAGCACTTGTAGAGCTTTTCTCTTTCTCACAAAGACAGATCAGCAGTTGAAGAAAAAGTTTGCCTCCATGTGCTGGTTGACAAAGAACCAACATGAGAAGTTCCTTTTTTTCCTTCTCTCTCATCTATGTTCTCTCATTCCTTAATCTGGGTCTCCCCCCTCTTTCTAAAAATTTAGAGCTTTCCTTTAGTCTTGTAGGAAATAAGAGAGCTTTTTTCTATTTCTCTCTGTCCTCTTAAAGAAAAGAGATGTGGGGGGTGGGTGATTTGTGAGGGAATCAAGGAATATTTTTCATGATTTTATTTCTGTTATCTCAGTCTTTATACGTGTGGTTCACACGCTTGTGCACAGTCAGGTAAAGGGAATGAGTGAAAGGCATGCTTTTGGCGTTCAGAGCTCATGAAGCTGATGCCAGTGGGTACAAAAAATTCCATGTTTTAAGGATGCTTTTACAGGTGGGGTTTGAGAAATAAGCCATGAGAGAGAAATAGTGCTAATGGATTTTGGAAAAGAAGCCATGTGAGAGAAACACTCTCAGGGGGTTTTGATAAAGGAGGGATAAGAGAGAAAGATTCTGGCTGCACTGTACCTAAGAAGTTATGAAAGAAAAAAAGCAACAAACAAAATTATTGTTGAGTGAGGTATGAATTCTTCCACTCCTTAAAGGTTCAGTGTTGGAATTGCAAGCAATATATCATTGGAGAATAAAAGTTTCTCTGGCCTTTGGAGTTCATTCTTTTGCTTGTGCCTTATAATTGTTTTGCTTCCTCCATATAAACATGTTATATTGTTTGTGCCTTATAATTGTTTTGCTTCCTCCATATAATAACATGTTATATGGCTTGTGCCTTATAATTGTTTTGCTTCCTCCATATAATAACATGTTATAGTTCACTTAGAGGGTTATGCATTGCTTGAGACTCATGTCAACTTCAGCACTGTCTGTTTGCAGTTTAAAGTGCTGCCAATTTTGCATGAGATGAGAGAGTTCACCTGCAATGTTGTATTTTCAGATTGAATTTTGTTCTATTTTTCCTGCTTTCTGGGCATTAGAGCATGTTACGAAAGAACTAATTCATCATCATCCAAGCCTTATCCCAATTATTTGGGGTCGGCTACATAAATTCTGTTCCTCCATTCTTCTATTACAAGGAACTAATTCATTACCCAAAATGTGCAATTACCGAATTGATATTAAAAAGGCATTTACTAAAGGATTTTGACTTCTTGTTTCCTTTTTCTCTTTTGGTTTTTGGCACTCATAGGAAAAATTCTGCGTGAAATGGTTTGATCTGGTTGTCTGATTGTATGAAGCTTGTCATCTCCATCATGTGATTTGGTTTCGAAATATTTACCTTACCTGATGAAATTAAACAAGACAAGTTCTCAATAGCAAGTCTCAAGCGTTATGTAAAATTGTGGAATGATTGAGCATTATTGAATTGCACATGGTTTAACTGGTTCAGATTCTAATGTCGGTCTATTCAATGTATAATGGGTTTGATAGTACTTTTTCTTCATTTTGATGGCTATAGCTCCTTTCTCTTTTTTATTGACAGGTTTAATGGGCCAAAGTTTATTGGCCTGATTGAAGAGGTAATAGCTTCATATCCCAATTTCTCTGTAACTCCTGGGTTCTAAAATATGGCAATGGAAGAAAAGGAAGCCAGATATTTGTCCCTCATACCTGATAAAGTCGATTGTGTTTACCCCATGTATTTTGGTGTTTCATGTGCCTTTGTTGGTCTCCATCTCCTCACAACAGAGAAGAAAAGGGAGTTGAGAGGCAAAATGTTTAATGATTGGTCGAAAATAATGGAAGGAATGCTTCGAGGAAGTACCCAACTGCTTGGTTTGCTTGTGTGGAAAATCCAAAGGGAAGGAAAATTTTCAGACATCTCAGAGCTCCAAATTGAGATTAAGAAAGCAAAGGCAGAGGTTGCAGAGATGAAGAGGAGGAGGGCTGAGGATGCAAAGGCCAACGAAAAAGTTGCAGCCATATTTGCTACCCAGGAGCAAAGCTGGTTTAGTGAAAGAAAGATTCTTCGACAACATCTCCAAGCCTCTTTGAAGGCCTTGCATGCTCTCAGAACCAAAGTGTGCACAGATTGCCAAAAGAAAGAAGTGACTATATCTAATTTGAATCAGGTAGTGAGAGAAAAGGATCATCTTATTGAGTCTAAACTCAAGGCGTTGGAAGAGGAAGAGAATAAGACGGAAAACTTAGAAGAGAGGCTGCAGAAGGCAGAGAGAGAAACAGAGGAGTTGAGAGAGAAACTAAGCAGAGAAGCGCAAGATCACTCCTCAGAGCTTTGGGAGCATAAGACTGCCTTTGCTGAGCTTGTTTCCAACCAACGCCAGCTTGAAGCTGAGATGGTTTGTGCTCTAAGGCAGGTTGAGTCTACAAAAGAAGAGTTTGATGCCATTTTTGAGCAAAAAGAAGAATCTATAGCCATGGTGCAAAAGCTCTCAGAGGAGATTCTTAGAATGCAGAAGGAAGCAGATCAGAAAGACAAAGTTGTTTCTGCCATGTTAAGGAAATCCAAGTTAGACACAGGGGAGAAGCAAAAGTTGTTAAAAGACTTGAAGATTTTGAAGGCCAAGAGGAAGCAAGCAGAGCTTGAGACAGAGAGATGGAGGGATTTATACGAATCAAAGGTTCGACCCATTCCTAAAAGTGGCAAGAATTTGAGAAGCGATTCAGTCAACAGAGCTGATTTGAGATTGGAGTTGCCGTTGGAAAAGAAAACACCCCAAAAATGGAGAAATAGAACAGAATTGGAGATGGCTGATGAGAGGATAGAAACTCGTCCCCATACTCTTCTTCTTGAGTATTTAGAGATGGAGCATGGAGGGGAGAATGACTGCCTTCTACCAAAGAAGATGGACATAGCAGCCTCTGGGAGTTTTATCGAGAATTCAGCAGGAGACAATGAAATTCGTAAGACCCTAGTTTCTTCTGCTTTTCCATGTTTTTCTGAGATTCAGTTCATTAAGTACAATGAAAAATTTTCAAAACCACTGGCGGCCTATGAATAACAATAAACTATTGCTAGTTGTGAAAATATATTGGTTGCTGTTTTCGTATTCATGAATGTGAACCTGTCCATAGCATATGCTTTTATGCCTATTGATCGCTACTGCCTGTTTGGAAAAACACAAGTAGACACAAGCATGCTCAGATGTGTATGCATGAATGACAGATTTGCACTTTTTAATTTAGCTCGCCTTTTGCACATTACGCCCATGTTGGTGTGGCTATAGATTTTTTATACATCTCCATTAAAGTGCAACTCTGAAAGCATGAGTCTCTCTCT